TGAAAGCATCAGTTGACGCCAGCTTCTTAGTACATGCATCTGTTTATAGCTGGCTGGTTAGCTACTGGTCTGGAAAGACCACAACATTTCTTCTCATCTTCAAGGACACAGGATCATAACCGACCCTATTCTTTTTCTTCCTGCCAGCTGAAAGGCAGCATTCTGAGGCTTCTCTTTGGACTTGTTGCTTCTCAAAATTCTCCCTTGTTGTTTCTCTAGAATAGTCTCTCTTTCCAAAGAAACTTGGTGTATATTGATAACATATCCCATGTATCTGTTACTTCAACCAGTCATTGCCTTGCATTGCCATACAATGTTCTATGTATGCGTCTTGTTTTGCCAACTATAATTGTGAGCCCCTTAATCTTATTAGAACTCCCCCCAGTTAGGTACGTAATACAGGCACTCTGTAAATATTTTTGAATTAGTTTTAATACATTGCTCTACCCTCAAGGATCTTAGAGTTTCACTGGGAAGGCAAGGGATACCCAGGTGAAACAGTTCAATAACAGAGCGAAGTAGCATTAATTCAGTGCCAAACGTGGAAACGTAGACCCAGGAGGTACAATGCTGAGGATGTCAGAGGGAAGTCACCAAGCTGGACCATTCTGAGAAGGCTCCCAATTGCCTGTAACAGTTGTTACTTGTTCTAAGAGAGTAAGTCAGTAGCTGCTTTCAGAGTTGGCTGGTTTTACAAATTAATCTGGCTGTCGGAGTAGCATTACTGCAACTGTCATTTTGTCCTTTGCACACTGATATCTCTGCTTCCCCAAAGGCATTTATTCCACAGACAAGCCCAGCTCCTGGCCCCTAGAAATATCACAACGAAGTTTACTTCTATCCTCCTTTCCCACTCTCCAAAACCCTTTCATCATTCATGTTTTTTTTTAACTTCTGTTTCTGTGAAAAGATTTATCTTTATGGTTCAGCTCTCTAAAAGAAAGAGCTGATAGCATGAGAATGGGCATAGAGAGGATGCATATGCCTTCCTGCACTTCTTTCTGGGTGCTGCACTTGTGCTTTTAATCCTGCTGCTGTCAAGCTCCATTAGGAGATTGGAGCATCAGCCTCCTACCTTTGGGGCCTGGTCTTCCATCAGCCCTGACTGAAATGAGGACGGTGTTTGAGATGGGTAATCAAGCAGAAAGACAGGTTAGGTATCACAGAGAACCCCACCCTAATTCACTATCCTGACGGCACAGTCACCTTATACATCACACAGGGTCATTTATCCTCCCACGTGCAAACACTGGCTGCCATTAGGGGAGGCCATCCGAATGCCATGCGCTGGCATCCATACAGTGAGTTAAAACAGCAGCAGCGGAAGGCTAAGAAATGATTTCCTCTTTCTGGAAATGTAGAACAGTGCAGAAGGAGGAGGACCCCCGACGCCCATCCAAGGAAGCAAAGTTATTCAGATCAATCCTGGTGATCACGGGGTGACAGGTGTTTCAGCCTCACATCTGGCCTCTGACGTAGCTTTAGTAAGAAGCAACACTTAGACTTTCACCTTAGAGGACTAGCAGTAAGTTTCTTGGAACGAAAAGGCCACTTAAGTGACACCCCCGTTCTCTGCATTTGATATGACGCAGAAACCAGTGCCATAGGAAGACTCAGAAGGAGGTGTTTGTGTCTCTAGCTGAAATTAATGCCTCTGTTGCCATCAGTAGACAATATTAAGTGCTCAGCTATTCAAGTTATTGTGCTGGATCTAAAACCAAAATCTATATATTTTTTGTGAGCTCTTAAAGCTCCTTTCTTCAAACTATTTTTTGTGTATAAAAAAGCACCCTTTCATAAAAGAGCTTTTTTCTTAAGGTTCTTTTTGTGAAAAAAAGGCACTGATTTGCATTCAGCAAACCTTGAAAACTGCAAAAGTGACAACAATGAGTAGATGGCACATCAAGGTTCAAATCAGTGTTGGGAAAAAAACTGGAAAGGTTATGAGTGCCAAGTCTGTCTTGTTCCCACAGCTAATTGTTAGAGTAAATGCTTTTTCTTTCAGGAAAGCGCAAGGTGTACATAGAGGTTTCTTTGCTGAGCTAGGTATTTACTTTGGAATTTTTATTTACTTTTTATTTGTTTTATTTAATTTGGAATTAAAATGAATTTGCAAAAGAGAAAAGTTATATATTAGCACCTGCAATTAGTTTTTGGTGACACAAACCTGACATGTTTTTTTGAAAAGGTTAATTGTGCTTTCTTTGCTAGGTTAAAGCAAAGACTTTTCTCACATTGTGTATATATTCAGGGGACAAATATATTTTATATTGGAGGATTAAAACAAACTGAGACAGGATGACCTGGGAAGAGAGAAGGTGTGTACATTCATGAGGTGATATACCATGAAAAACCACAAATGTGAGTTTGGACGTGGAGCAGCAGAGGAGGAAGTGAAGCAGCTGTAAATGTCCAGATGACACTGAAAAAAACATTTCTGATTAGAGCCTCAGAGAGCAAAACTGAATTAAGTAAAGGATTTAGGGTTCTTCTCTAGATGGTGATGGTAACAGTAGCGAAAGCAACTGGAATGAAATTTCAACAGGAAATAGAGCAGTTTGCTCTACAAGGCATGAAATATGAATCCACAAGTGAATTGCTGTGGTAGATTTTTAACTGTAACTTCCAGTACAGGAAGAAAATATTGACTTGTCCTGCCCACTTTGAGCTAAATAAACAATGCTCAGCTCTGAAGCCACCCCAGCAAGATGAAGCACTGCCAGACTGCAGTGTTTGGATCGGCCCCTCATGACTCCCTGTGTCTTCATGCAGTCTGTTTATTTCTAGAATACCATTTTTCTCCCATGTACCCATTTGCCTGTTCATACACTACATAAAGTCATATTTGTCAAGGGCAAATATGACAGCATTGTGAAAAGCACATATTACATCCTTGAAAGCAAAGTGAGATCAGGGTGCCAACCACCAAGTTCAAGGTCTATTTAGATCTTTTTTTCATAATTTAGCCACTTACATACTTGATCCCAATGTGTAAAATGGGCCAATAATCCAGTTCTCATAAACCCACAGATGATCCCAACTATGTGAATTAATTGCCGAATGTGGTAGTGTGTCGGGAAACATAAATAAGTGAGGTCTTGCCTATCTCTAGCAGCTAAAAACAGACCAAAGGCCAACACATTCTATTGCATTAAATCATTCTGCTTTCAGGTTTTACAGCAGTGCAGGAATCACAGAGGTTTCAAATCTGAGTAAGAAATTGCTCCTTACTCATTTACTCAATTACCCCATAGCTGTTTTGTGGCTTTTTGTTCAAGAACAGAATCATCCTTAAATATCATCTGGTGACCCATGCCAAGATGGAAATTGGATGTGAACTTTGCTTTATATGGAAACATAGATGCTCTAAAGCTCTTTGGTGCTGGGCAAAGCTTTATTCAGCACGGGCACGGTTACTATGTCCCCACAGAACCACGCATGTGTTTTGACCCTCAGTTTGCTGTACCAATTACTTTAACTCAACTCAGTCATGACAAATTGAGTTGAGTTAAAGTAACTGGACTGCAGTGGCGCAATCTCAGCTCACTGCAATCTCCGCCTCCTGGATTCAAGTGATTCTTCTACCTCACTCCCCCGAATAGCTGGGACTACAGGTGCCCTCCACCACGTCAGGGTAATTTTTGTATTTTTAGAAGATATGGGGTTTCAAGCACATTGGCCAGACTGGCCTCGAACTCCTGACCTCATGATCCGCCTGCCTCAGCGGATCTGCCTGCCTCAGCCTCCCAATGTGCCCAGCCAGCACATTGTTTTTAAATGAGTAATATTCACTCCCTCCTAAGATAAGAGACCGACCCAGTTGGATCTTGAGAGCAGCTGTGGTGGTTGTAAATGATTGTTTAGGCCAGGCGTGGTGGCTCACACCTGCCATCTCAGCACTTTGGGAGCCTGAGGCGGGTGGATCACTTGAGCTAGGAGTTGAGACCAACCCCGGGGAACATGATGAAACCCCCATCTCCACTAAAAATACAAAAATTAGCCAGGCATGGTGGTGTGTGCCTGTAATACCGGCTACCCTGGAGGCTGAGGCAGGAGAATCGCTTGAACCTGGGAGGTGGAGGTTCCAGTGAGCTGAGATTGCACCACTGCACTCCAGCCTAGGAAACAAAGCAAGACTCTGTCTCAAAAAAAAAAGATTGTTTACATGATTGTTAGTCTCATGTACCAGTGGTCCTGGAGATGAGGGCAGGTGACAGGAGCCATAAGAGGATGTGGACAGAGACCTGCTCAGAAAGGCCACCTATTGAGTGAAAGTAAAAAGGGATTCTTGGCTAGTAATGTGAATATGAAGCACATACTGAGGAGGTAGGAACCAGGACAACTCTCAATATTTTTAAACCCATCATTTATTGCATTCTCATGACACTTATGGCTGGGACCTAGCATCCCCCACGTGTACAACTTAATAGGTAGGGAGTATTTATCTCCCATTTTGCAACTAAGGGATTAGAAAGATTCAGTAACTTTCCTAAGAAAGGATCCAAACCCAGTTTGTCTGATTATAAAGTTCAAACTGTATATCATTTGCCTATTGACCATATTATCTGTTTTTGCAGTATGATTATTTGAAATGCAAATTAAATAATTCCTGGTTCCCAAGCAATGACTATAAAACACAAAATCTTGTCTCAAGAGAGGATGGATGCTTCATTTGTATTATGGAGACCAGAAAAGGGAGGAAATTGTGAAAAACATGTAAAGCTAAATAAATACCAGATAAAATTGAGACCTTCACAGAAGTAGCATGCTCTGTTCCTTACATAATTGATGATACCTTACCAGAATTCTAATTCCAAGGCCTGGTGAGAGAGTGACCCTCCCCTCACCCCCCATAATTTCTGGGAGTTCTCAGAACTCAGCACTCAAATTTCTGTCTCTGTGCTCCTGTATCCATGGGCTACCTCTCTTCTGACCCACTTCAAAACAGGCACAAAGACAACTCTCTTCACTTGGTCCCACACCGCCACAGATTCACTCACCAGAATGCATGCCGTTAGTAGAGAAACTTTGCTGAAGGTTGGGGGACGGTCACAGGAAGGGGTGACATGACGATGCTCAATGTCTTCTCCCGTATCCCTGTATCCACTGCTCTCTCTTCCTCCTTGTTCCTCCTATCCCAGGAATAACAAAATCTTCCTCTAGCCTCATGGAGAACAAGTTTTTGAAAACCTTTTTTTTTTTTTAAGAGACGGCGTCTCCCTCTATCGCCCAAGCTAGAGTCCAGTGGCTGATCTTGGCTCACTGCAACCTCCACCACCCAGGTGCTAGCAATTTTTCTGCCCCAGCCTCCCGAGTAGCTGGGATTACAGGCACATGCCGCCATGCCCGGCTAACTTTTTGAATTTTAGTAGAGATGGGGTTTCGCCATGTTGCCCAGGCTGGTCCTGGACTCCTGAGCTCAGGCAATCCACCTGTCTCAGCCTCCCAAAGTGCTAGGATTACAGGAGTGAGCCACCGAGCCTGGTCAAAAATCAACTTATCCCTAATTTTAGAAAGGTAAACTGGTGCGTTCCTGTTTATTAGCACAACATACCCCAATAGTGTCTGAAGCAGCAAACACATCAATGTTTTTGCAGCAAATGAATAAATATTGTCACCAGGTGATATGAATAAAGGCTTAACTAGCCTCACTGTAGTTTAGAATTGGCCACCAAATCAGATCAACTCAGCTCAAATGTTGCACTCAACAGATCTTTTTCAAACTTGGACTGTCGGAGATTTTTGAAATTTAAGTTGTAAATAAGAGATTGCAGACCTGTATAGGAGAACACCACTGAGCCAGGCTTAATAATCTGGCTCCTGACTAGAGAAAGCTGTCATTTTAATCATTGGCTATACAGTACATGACATCTTTAAAAACTTAAATGCCAGATGGCAGACTTGGCCAAATAAAAGAAATTAAACAAATACTCCTTTTTTATATCTGTCTGAGTCTGTTCAGGCTGCCATAATAATATCACAGACTGGGTGGCTTATAAACAACAGAAATTTATTTCCACAGTTCTGTAAGCTGGGAAGTCCTCAATCAGGGTACCAGCAGGTTCCATTTCAGGTGGAGGCCCGCTTCCTGATTGATAGACGATTCCTTCTCGCTGTGTCTTCACGTGGTGGATGGGACTAATGAGCTCTTTGGGGGTCTCTATTTTAAGAGCACTAATCCCATTCACCTAATCACCTCCCAATGGGCCTACCTGCTAAGACCATCACCTGGGGGGTTAGAATTGTAACACAGAATTTAGATGGGGCTACACAAACATTCAGTCCACTACAGTATTTCAGGAAGCTTCCACCAGATGAACTTGTCTTTTAAGTAAAAAGAATCCCACCCCCACCAATTAGACTGTCCACAGTAAAACTACATTGGAAGAAAGGACTGGCGTTATCAGATAAGAGAGGAACACCTGTTCCAATTGGCCAGGGAGAACAGGTTGATATTTGAGTTTGAGCCCATTCCTGTTACGTGAGGTGGCCTCTATCTGAATGGTCCTTTGAGTTTATATGAAAAGTAAAAGCAAAAAAGTTTACATTAGAACTTACTTTGCTAGAAGGCAGCTGAGAAAGCAAGGTGTGGGCAATTACTTTTTTCCTTGATGTAGCTCTGTAAATCTTCAGCAAGAAGGCAGTTTTCACTCAAGTCCTCCCAGTTTGAACAACAACACATGCAGACAAGCACCTGATTTTGCTTCTGAAAAAGGCAGATTAAATAATTCAGATCCATACTCCCGAAGGGTAAGCTAAAGATAACTAAAAATACTGGATAAAATATGTTTAAATCTTTTTAAAAGCATCCAAGAGTTAATAAGACGTTACTGGCCTGGGTGCGGTGGCTCAAGCCTGTAATCCCAGCACTTTGGGAGGCCGAGGCGGGTGAATCACGAGGTCAAGAGATCGAGACCATCCTGGTCAACATGGTGAAACTCCATCTCTACTAAAAATACAAAAAATTAGCTGGGGATGGTGGCGCGTGCCTGTAGTTCCAGCTACTCGGGAGGCAGAGGCAGGAGAATTGCCTGAACCCAGGAGGCGGAGGTTGCGGTGAGCCGAGATCGCGCCATTGCGCTCCAGCCTGGGTAACAAGAGCGAAACCCCAACTCAAATAATAATAATAATAATAATAATAATAATAATAAGACATTACTAGCTTTAAGCCCCAAGAAAGGCAGAAATCGAAAGAAATTAGCCTTGTATTTAGGGTCACTTGAGACATTTTGTTACCCTGGTTAGAGGTCAAAAGTTGGAATTCGTGGCTTACCAAAAGTACAGATGTTGCTAAGCCACCTCCTGCTTTGAGTTGGAACCGTAAAGGAGCTACATTCTAAGACAGGGTGGATGCAAGTAGAGCAGCACTCACATTTGGGTGTGGGCTGGATTTACTGACTCGCTCTCAACTGATTTTAGCAAAAGTACCAAGGCTACACAATGGAGAAAGGTGAGTCTCTTCAATAAACGGTGCTGGGAAAACTGGATAGCGACATGTAAAAGAATGAAATCGAACACTTATCTTACACCATACGCAAAATGTAAACTCAAAATGAATTAAAGGCTGAAGGCCTGAAATTACAAAACTCCTAGAAGAAAACGTAGGGAAAAATCTTCTTGATACTGGTCTTGGCAATTATTTCTTGGATGTGACACCAAAAGCATAGGTCACAAAAGCAAAAAGAGACAAGTAGGACTACATTAAACTAAAAAGCTTCTGCACAGCAAAGGAAACAATCAGTGGCATGAAAAGGTAACCTAGGAAAGAAAAAATATTTGCAAACCATATATTTGATAAGGCTTATCGAAATTATATAAGAAATTAATATAACTCAGTGACAAAAAGCAACCCAATTAAAAATAGACAAAGAACCTGAATAAACGTTTCTCCAAAGAAGTCATGCAAATGGCCAAATGGTGTATAAAAAAGTGTTCCACACACTAATCATCAAAGAAATGCAAGCCAGAGCTACACTGAGATATCATCTCAAACCTGTTAGGACGGCTGTTATCAAAACCCCAAAGGTAACAAGTTTTGGCAACATTATAGAGAAACTGGAACTTTTGTACCCTGTTGCTTGGAATGTACAGATACTGTGGTAAATAGTAAGGAAACCATATGACCCAGCAATCCCACTTCTGATTAATATGTTAACAATATTAACATATTAACTTATTAACATACCTAAAAAATCACTATCTCAGAGACATACCTGCATTTCCATGTTCACTGCAGCATTATTCACAATAGCTAAGATATGGAAATAACCCAAATGTCCACTGCCATGTATGGAGAAAAATAGAAGATATGTAAATACAATGAACTACTATTCAGCCTTATAAGAGAAGGAAATCCTGCTATTTGTGACAACCTGGATGAACTTGAAAGAGATGATGCTAAGTGAAAATAAGCCTTTTAGAAGAGGGAAGATATTGCATCATTCCATTTACAGAAGGTATCTAAAATAGCCACTCACAGAAGCAGAGAATAAATAGTGGTTTCCAGCAGCTGGGAGAAAGGGGGAGTGGAAGGTCGTTGTTCAATGGCTGTACAGTTTCAGTTATACCAGATGAATACATTCCAGAGATCTGCCATCCGACGTAATGCTTAGAGTTAACAATGCTGTATTGTGCACTTAGAAGTTTGTTCAGGCCGGGTTCGCGCCTGTAATCCCAGCACTTTGGGAGGCCGAGGTGGGCAGATCACAAGGTCAGGAGATCAAGACCATCCTGGCCAACATGGTGAAACCCCGTCTCTACTAAAAATACAAAAATTAGCTGGGTATGGTGGCGCATGCCTGTAATCGCAGCTACTCAGGAGGCTGAGGCAGGAGAATTGCTTGAACCCAGGAGGCGGAGGTTGCAGTGAGCCGAGATTGCGCCATTGCACTCCAGCCTGGCACCTGGCAACAAAGCAAGACTCTGTCTCAGGAAAAAAAAAAAAGTTTGTTCAGAGGGTAGATCTCATGTTCAGTGTTCTTACAATAACAACAACAACAACAAACACCCCATCAAAAAGACCAAAAAGCAAAGAGATACAAGGAAACTTTTAGAGGTGATGACTATGTGTATCGCCTTGATTTGTAGTGATGGTTTTGCCGTATGTTCATACGTTCAAACTCATTAGGTTGAATACATTAATATGTGCAGTTTACATGGATGAGCTTGGAGGACGTTAGGTTAAATGAACTAAGCCAGGCGCAGAGTGGTAAATCTGCACGTTCTCAGTCACATGGGGAATCTATAAAAGTTGCTATCATAGAAGTGGAGAGGCAGGGAAGGGGTGTGTGGAGAGGGGCTGACTAAAGGCTGGTTAACAGATACAAAAGTACAGCTAAATGGAAGGCATAAATTCTAGTGCTCTGTAGCGCTTTAGGGTGAGAATTAATTGTATATTTTCAAATAACTAGAAGAGTGGATTTTGAATGTTCCCAATACAAAGAAATGATAAATGTGTGAGGTGATGTATTTGCTAATTACCCTGATTTGATCATCGCACATTATATACTTGTACCAAAATGTCACATTGTACTCCATAAATATGTACAATTATTACATGTCAATTTAAAAATAATACAAGCCAAAAGATACTAAAAATATGTAGTTTTGTATATCAATTATACCTCAAGAAAGCTGTGTTTTAAAAATCTAAAAACCAAGAATTTAGCAATACGTAAAAAGATTTATACACTTTAACCAAGTAGGCTTTATTCCAGTTATGCAAGCATGGTTCAACTTTCAAAAATCAATGTAATCCACCATATTAAAAGGCTAAAAAAAGAAAAAAATCATATATTTATATAAACTGATGTAAAAGCATTTGATAAAATTCAACACCCACTTATTTCTGTTTTTTTCTGAGAATTATGACAAAATTCTCAGAAAAAGCAGAAATAGAAGGCAAACTTGATACCTTTAGCTAATCTCTAATTAATCATGAAAGACTGAATGCTTTCTCCCTATCAAAATACCAGTGATAATTTTTGTATTAATAGATATAGAGGAGATTATTCTAATAAACAGAAAGGCAAAGAAACTGGAAGAGCTAAAACAATTTTGAATAGAAAGAATAAAGTGGGCAGAATCAGTCTTCCTAATTTCAAGATTTATTTTGTAGCTCCAGTAATCAAGACTGTATGGTATTGGTGGAGGGACAGACACATAGATCAACGAAACATAATTGAGAATCCAAAAATAGACTGAAACAAATATGCCCAGCTGATTCTTGACAAAGGTACAAAGGCAATGGTGGACAAATAGCCTTATTAACAAATGGTGCTAGAGCAATTGAACCTTCTTAGTCAAAAAAAAAAAAGCAGAAGAAGAGGAGGAGGAGAAGGGGAGGAAGAAGAAGAGGGAGGAGGAGGAGGAGAGAAGAAGGAGAAGAAGGAGGAGGAGGAGGAGCAGCAGCAGCAGCAGCGGCTCAACCTAGACCTCACATCTTATACAAAAAGTAACTTATAATGGATTACCAACTTAAATGTGAAACAGAAAAAAACAATAGAAAACCTTTGGGATTTAGGGCTAGGCAGAAAGTTCTTAGTCTTGATACCAACAGCATGTTCCATAATAGAAAAAATAGAAAAATTAGACCTTCTCAAAATTTAAAAATGTCTCTACAAAGTATATGTAAAGAGGATGACTGGGGGAAAATATTTGCAAGCCACAGATCTGAAAAAGGACCAGGATCTAGACCAAGCTCGTCCAACTCATGGCCCATTGGCCACATGCCTCCCAGGATGGCTTTGAATTTGGTCCAACTTTCTTAAAACCTTATGAGAATTGCTTTGTGATTTTCATCAGCTATTGTTAGTGTTAGTGTATTTTATATGTGACCCAGAGAAGCCAAAAGACTGGACACCCCTTATCTAGACTATATGGAGAACTCTAAAAACTCAACAACCAAAAAAAAAAAAAAAGAAACAATCAAATTAGCAAATGGCCAAAAGACATAAACAGACATTTTACTAAAGATAGCATATAGATTAAAATACAGATGGAAATAAAGATGGCAAGTAAGCACAAGTGCTTGAAAAGACATCCGACATCAGTAGCCATTAGAGGAACGGAATTTAAAACCACAATGACAAATCACTGTACATGTATAAGAATGCGTAAAAGTTTTAAAATATTGACAACACCAAATTCTGTCAAGGATGTGGAGAAGCTGGATGATTCATATGTTCCTTGTTGGGATGTAAAATGGCCTATTCTGGAAAATAGGCTGGCAGTCTCTAAAAACTAAGCATGTGACTACCGTATGATCTAGCAATAGTTCGCCTGGGCATTTATCCCAGAGATATGAAAATGTATGTTTTCATTTGTATACACTTGAAAACCTGTATACAAATGTTTATGACAACTTTATTTGGTTTTTGTTGTTGTTGTTGAGACAAGGTCTTGCTCTGTTTTCCAAAGCTGAAGTACAGTGGCTCAATCATAGCTTACTGCAGCCAACTCCTGGGCTCAAGGGATCCTCCCCCTTTAGCTCCTGTGTAGCTGGGATTACAGGTGTGAGCCACCGTGCCCAGATGCTAATTTTTAATTTTTTTAATGTATAGACAGGGTCTCACTATGTTGCCTAGCCAGTCTGGAATTCTTGGGCTCAACTGATCCTCCCACCTCAGCCAACTTAATTTGTAATATCCCTAAAACTGTAATATTCCTTAAAACCCTAAATGTCCTTCATTAGGTGAATGGTTAAATAAGCTGGTGGTACATGCATACCGTGAAATACTACTCAGTAAGAAAAAGGAACAAAATATTGATACAACAACCTGCAGCTCAGGTTGCTGAATGGGAAAAAAAATGCAAAAGGCTACATATTGATTCAAAGGGTTATATATGATTTTTTAAATATAACAATTTGAAATCACAACATTTTGGGAATGGGAAACAGATAAGTGGTTTCAAGAGGCTAGAGATGGGAAGGGGTGCACAGGGGAAGTAGGTGTGGCTACGAAACGGCAATATGAGGGATCTTGTGGTGATGGAAATGTTCTGTATCTTGACTGTGTCAATGTCAATATCCTAATTATGATATTTTACTACAGTTTTTGCAAGATATTACCAATGAGGGACATTGGGTAAAGGGTACTTGGAATCTCTCTGTATTATTTCTTTTTTTTTTTTTTGAGACGGAGTTTCGCTCTTGTTACCCAGGCTGGAGTGCAATGGCGAGATCTCGGCTCACCGCAATCTCCGCCTCCTGGGTTCAGGCAAGTCTCCTGCCTCAGCCTCCTGAGTAGCTGGGATTACAGGCGTGAGCCACTGCGCCCAGCCCTCTGTATTATTTCTTATAATTGCCTGCAAATATACAATTATCTCAAAATGAAAATTCTGATTTTAAAAAATGACTCGATCAAAAGATACTATTAAATGAATAGAAGATACTTGTAGTCTCTAACTGACAAAAGCATGAATTGATAAACAGCTTTTATGAATCAATAAGAAAAAGTCAGCTAAAAAATGGGCAAACATTTGAACAGGCATTCAGAAAACAGAAAATTTAAATAGCCTATAAACACATGTAGAAGTGTCCAGTTTCACTGGTAATTAGGAATATGAAATGAAGATCACAATGAGACACCATTACATCTCCACCAGACAAAAAATAAAAAGTCTAATAATATTATATTTTGGCAAGGATGAAGAGCAATGAGAACTACCACACATCTCTGATGGTAGTGTAAATTTTGTAACTCACTTTGGAAAACAATTTATCATGATCTAATAAAACTAAATATATGCATACCCTATAGTCTAATAATTCCACTCCAAGGTATACATCCTAAAGATTGTATTTACATACCAGGAGATATATACAAAAATCTTAGCAATATCATTTGTAATAGCCCCAAATGGGAAAAAAATCCAAATGTCTAAAGTGCCAGAATGGACAAAGAAATTGTGATATGTTCATACAAAGGAATATTAAGTAGCAATGAAAATGAATGAACTACAGCTACATGCCGCAAAGTAGATGATCTTACAACCAAATGGAAGGAGAGGCCAGAGGCATACACAAATATGCATGCAATATTATTCAATTTATAGAAAGTACAAAACCAAACAAAACTCAGTTGTAGTGGTTAGAGATTCCTACATTACAAATTGGTGGGAACTTCCTTATATATATTTGAATATGTATTTGAAGCTTCCTTATATACATTGGTAGAAAAATATATAAGGAAGTAATTACCATAAAGTCAGGATAGTTGCTTTAGGGGGAAGGGAAGGACTTGTGGAAGGGAATTGGTGGAGGAGGGGAACCTCTGAGGTGACAGCAATGACCTGGGTGGTGTTTGGTTTATGATTCTTAGGCTATGAAGGTATGTTGTCTTCACTTTTCTGTGTGTGTTATCGTTTATAACAAAACCACATACCCTCTTCATATGTCATTGTTTCGCCTTTGAGATGACAAAGGAATACAGACATGAGCCTTAACTGTGCTGAGAAAAGACTGCACCTGAAAACCTGAGCTCAAAATTTAAAACCTGTGAGGAAGGTTAGAGTAAAAAGTGGAGTGCTGCAAGGCAGTAGACTTGCTGGAATGATGAGGTGGTGGCTTGCCTTGGAATTTTTTTTAACAGTGCATTAGGAATAATAAGGTTGCTCCAGGTGCTAAATTTCTTACTCACCGTCTTTAGATGTTGGACCTAGGCTGAGGGTCCACGGTTTTTAAACGTTTTGGAGTTTTTTAATTTTATTTTTCAAATTGATTCCCTGATCACCTTTGCCTTGGATCCCCCTAACTACCCTGCATAAGTAGAGAACTTTTGATGCAGTGGAAACCCTCCCTTCCCGAGCGTTAACCGGGGTGACCTCACCCCTCTCTCCTCGCTTGTCTTCAGTCCAATCAAGATCAGAAAGCAGGATCAAGAGAAAGATGATCAGACCGGAACAGGTAAACGTTCCATATAGAGATGCTTGGAAGTGCGGAGAAGGAACAGCTTATCCCCCCTCGAGCTGTCATGTCCTCTCCGCTGACCCTCTGAATTACTGATGTCAGAACTTACTGGGTGGAGTACAGCACAAGAAGCAACTCGAGAGTTTCACGACATTGAAAGAAGGTGATTTCAATCAAGAAATCTAGCGCACAGTTAAGGTTTCTCCTCGTGTCGAGGCATTGCTTCTCCGTCCTGCCTCTTCCTGCCAGACCTCACCGCCACAGCTCCAAACACACCCTGACTCCGAACCCGGGCACAGTGCGGGCCGGAAATAGGAATGCAAAGGAGCCCTTCGGGAGGCTCTCGAGGCAGTACCTTTCCAGTGGCCAGCGACACACCCTGGACCCTAAGATTCTCACGCTCTCCGAATTTTCCGTGCTGGGTCCGATCTGTAACGCGCAAAGTCCCCTGTACCGAGGCGTTCCCAGGGCGCCGACCTCCCAAGTGTCCATTTCTTAGGCAAAAAGGCGGTGGAGCTGAGGAGGGGTCTTTGGAAGGCGCCCGCTGCGCTGTCTCACTGAGTCGCTTCCCTCGGCCCGCGTGCATCAGCCTCTCTGGCGGGGGATTCTCCCGGACTCCGGCCAGCGCCAATCAGGTCGCGCGGTACCTGCCCCCAGCCCCGGCCACCTGGAGGGGCGATGAGGCTCCACTCCCGGAGCAGGGCAGTCCTCGGAGCGCCGGGGAGGCTGTGGAGCCTCAAGTGTGCAGCCCCAGCCGCGGGCGCCCGGAAGGACGCGCGCCGACCCCGTGGGAGCCGAACGCGGGAGTCGCTGCCCAAGCGAAGCTGCTCAGCCGCGGTAACCGGTCGGAGCCTCCAAGGCGCAGAGGAGCTAGCGGAGGGGCGGGGCGCGGGCGGGCGGAGGAGCCGCGGGGCACTGGCTCCGCGCGGGGATTGTGTCCGGCCACCGCGTACTTTCGAGGGCGCCTCTACATTCGGGTAAGCGCGTCCCGCTTCCTCCCTCTGTCCACCCCGCCGCCTTGAGAGTAGCAGTTCCCGACTGGGTCTAGATCGGCTCTCGGCTCTCGGCTCTCCCTCTCCGCGCCACCGGCCTCTAGCTCCGAGGGCCGCGGCGGCTCGGGGGTATCTCTGGCCTCGTGGCCAGGCCGCGGGTTGGGGCGGGACTCGCCGGGTCCCTGCCCCGGGCGGTGCCGAAGGCGCTTTACTCAGGGTGTCTGCACCCACTGGCTTCTCCGCACCTTCGGCCAAGCCGGACCTGACGCGGACGCAGCAGCTCCTGCTGCTGCGCCTCGCGCCCGCTGCCACCCGGGGAGCATGAGGCGCGGGACGCCCGGGCGCGGGGACCCGGACAGAGGAGCCGGGAGGGTTGGGGCCCGCCCGGCGGGAGCTGCCGGGCCAATCCGCCGCCGTCGATTTGTGCGTCTGGGTTCGTGTTGGGGACTCTGGGCAGCCTTGCCACTGGGGCTCGGTTTGCTGGTGATTTTCCCTAAGTTTTACAAAATAAAGAGAGCGATGTGCCTTCGCGGCGCGGGGTGGGCATCCAGGCGGCAAGGGCCTGTGGGAACCGGCGTCTCGGCCAGCGAGTCTGGGGCCAGGATAGCAGGGTGGCCGGGAGAAGCCGGACTTGCCCGTGGGGCCGTGGTCCGCTTGCTCCCGAGGCCACAGAGCTGGTGCCGGCACCAGCATCCCGGATGGCCCTGGGTGCTCGAGGCGCCGGCCACACCGAAGCCCCCGCTCCGCGGCCGGGAAGAGGGCCTGGCCAAGCAGAGAGCAGAGCCGCGAGCAGAAGGCAGCGTCCGGAGGAGGCCCGCATTCTGCTGCGGGGGCCCGGCGGCCGGGCCTGGCCGGGGTGGGGAGCGTGGAGGCCGAGCGCGGCACGCCTGGGCCTTGGGTGTGGGGCGTCCTGGTTCTCTGTGGCTCCGAAGGCCGCGAGGCACGCCCATTGGGCGACACACGCCAGCCGTGTTTGCCTGTCACACTGGTGTGGGGGTTCCTTTTCTTTGGGTGGAATTGTAGGCCCCTGGAAGTTTGCTCGTCCTGGCAAGTTTGACGTGACAGGGACGCAGCATCCATCCTGCAGGCGGAGGCCTACAGGCACTTCCTCCTGTCCTTTTCCCCAGCCTGGACCCTCCCCTAGGCCGCCCAGGGGGCCCCATCTGGAGATTCTATGGCAGTCTCAGCGTGGCGGGCAGGGCTGACGTCCGCGCAGTTGCGTCTGTGCCCTGCTTGGTTCTCCAGCCGCCGAGCCAGACGCATGTTTTATGCCTGTGGGAGACAAACAATGACGGCGGACTTCAATCCGACAAGTTCGCTTTGCCTAAGGTTCCCTCGGGTCTGGAGTATCCCTAGGGGAAAGGCAGCTTTCCTTCTGCCCTAATGAGATACTTGGATGGAACAGACATTCAGACCCTGAAAGAGGCGGACCCAGGGGAAGGAAGAGTAAAGGTATATGCTCTGAAAAACTGAATTTCTCAGCCAGTTCTCTAGGGAGGTTCCAGCTCCCATGCCTGAGAGGATCGAAACCAGCAGGTACAGGGGCATGTGGCGTCCAGAGGGGAAGTAATGTGTGGCTCTCGGAGGGTTCTGCGGGGACATCAGGCAGATCAGCAGCGGCCCCTCCTCACAGGTCCCTGCTCTCGGGAGGGAGCACAGCTGTTATTTCCACCATCCCGGGGGTGCAGGAGATAGGGCCATACCTGTGTGGGAAAAGCCTGTGAAGTCCTTTGGAGTGGCAGGTGGAAGGCCCACAGGCCTGGATAGAAACCTGAGTTGTGGGCAGGACTAGCATTCCTGCCAGGGCTAGCGATCTGTATTCAGTGACTTCATCATGCATACTGTTCTGGAAAGGCAAGCGAGATGGACTCGTGCGGATGAGAGCAGGTCCCGTTTGGCCCAAGGATCTCTGTTTTTTCTCTAGCTTGCCGGTCTGTAATTGGATGAGTCTGGCTTAGTTCAGGGCCAGACTGAACTCAGTCTGAGTACAAACATCAGCTGGTAGCAGGGGACCCTGGCTGGAGCACAGGGCTGCCAGCCCTCACCCAGAGGCCTACGCCGGGATTTTCCTGATCTCCTGCAAGGTTTAGAAGGCTGAGGTAGATGAGAGGAGGAGCTGGCAATCTTCTGGGAGTCATTTGGCTCTGGTAGGGCCATTCCAGGGTCTGTCCATTGTGAAAGTTCCCCAGGGTATAGAATCTGGCCTAGTGATTATTAACATTAATGAAAGTTGCTCCCACTTATTAAGTACCTGCTATATGCCAGACAGAAGGTTTTGCAAAATTATTATTATCCCCATTTTTCATGTGAGAAAACTGGGTTTGGGGATAGGGTAAATGATTTGCCACAATCATAAAACTACTCAGTGGCAGAGCAGTGCATGAAACCCAGGGCTCTCTGTTCCAAAGTCTCTGCCCCTCCCCCAGGGCAACTCTCTTCCCATTAAGAACAGACACACATGTGGTAGCTGGAAATCCAGAATCGTCATGAATAAAGACCCTTACTTATAGATCCAAGAGATATGTATAGACTCTAAACTTCAGAAAGTGCTGGCCTGGTAAACGAGATGTTCTTCCTTCCCTCTAGGACTCAAAGGTTTAAGTCCTACACAGAGGACTCATTTCTTTAATATGTAAAGTATAAATCTTTCAACTGGCAAACAACAAAGACATGGATAAACTGTTGATGAGGTTGTAGAAAAGCAGGGACTTCCATATATTGCTGGTGGGAGAGTAAATTGGTACAACTTCCTTGGAGGGCATTTTTGGAAACACTTGTCAAAATCATAAATGTCCATGCGGTCTGACCCAGTGATTCCATTTTTAGGAATTGAACTTGCTGTTATCCTTGCATATGGGCACAAAGATATATGTACATTATAGCACTGTTTGAACTGTGAAAGAACAACTTACACCCTTACCCAAGAGGGACTTGTTAAACGTCTCACGGTACTTCCAGATAGTCAAATAGTATCCTATTCATTCATAGAAAGAGAATTAGTAAGTTTGCTGTATAACTGATAGGGAATGATTTCCAAGATATATGGCTAAGTGGAAAAAACAGCATGCCTAGAGTGTTTATAATATGCTGCTGCTCATGTTATACAAGAGGAAGAAGGAGAATTGTAGGATGTTTGCTTGTCTATGTATAACTCTAGACACAAAATCTAATAATACCTGTTGCCTCCAGGAAAAGTGGCCTGTAAACCCTTTTGTACTTTTGAATTCTAAACCATGGGAATACGTTAACTATTTTAAAATCCTTTATCCATCCTATGCCTGATATGTTCCCTCAAACACTTCTCCAGCCTAACAGTGTGCGGTGACACACTCCACCCCCTTCAGGTTGCTTGAGAGGTTCCCTTTGGATTAAAAGCCAAAGGTCTGTGAGACTGCACAGTGCCCATAGTATCTGGGCCATGCAGAAATCCTTTGAAATACACAGAGTTGTACTTGGAAAGCTGGGGAGAGGTGTCTTTGGACAGCAGGCTCTCTGAGCCGGGTAGGCAAGTTATGATCATCCAGCCTTGAAAACAATATGCAGAAATAGAAACCACCCCTCTCTCTATTGCCCTAATGTTCCCTTGTACAAGTGTCAGCAACTGGATAGCATTGGGCAAAGGGGAAGAGGAACACTGTGACTGGACATCAGAGAGGGCAGACAATATGTAGGTTTATTTCTGGTGTTGCGTTTGGACCTCAAAAAGGAGAAGAGAGAGATGCTTGGAAAAAAAAAAAAGGCTTCAAATTATCCTAGGGTCTAGAGCTGTTTTGCCCCAGAGAAAGAAGGAAGAATGTTGGCACAGTTGTCACTGCATCAATCAGAGTGTCCTACATGCCCCTTTGAGCAATTTCTATCAGCACAGATGCCTGGCTCAGTTTTCCCTACTTCCAAGAACTCCTTCTGCTGATCACTCAGCCTGGAAGCCGATGGTTACACAAAGGGGATGGGGGCAGTATTGGATGCTGCCTTTCTTTTGGGGGTGGGTGATGGGACAGGCTGTTGAATAGCAGAAGCAATGGAAGAAGGGCTTGCTTCCAGCCACAAAGATGGGTCCTCCAGCAGCATTAGTTAGAAAGCCTTCATTGAGAGCTTTCCATGTTTCAGTTACTCTGCTAAGCCTACACTATTTCATTTCGTCTCTTTATCTCAGGTATATGTGAGGGCCCAGGATCTTTTCTATCAAGCAACATGTCTTTCTGCTCTCCCTTTACTGACTTTTCCATTCTCTGTGCAGTAAGCTGCAACACAGGCACAGCTGCGTCACATGGGTGCTCACAGAACCGGTTTTGGGTTTAACAGCATGCGACTGATCATTACATGCTTTGATGGACGAGTTGAAATTTCTGCAATATGGATAGATTTGTGCAGGGCACAGTTCCGAAACAAAGCGTCTGGGTCTGGATTTCCATTTCTCTTGTTTCCACTTCTGTGTATGCATTAGGCTGGGCTGAGTAGACCGTGCATGTGATGTTCCCCAGGGAAAGGTGGAGGAGGAGGAGAAGGAGGGCTTGTCATTGCTTTGGTGCAGACACCAATGGTGTGGAAGGCTGTGAAGATGAGCTTGTGTCTGCACCCAAAGAGAAAGGTCAGCAGAGTGGCCACTAAGCCCAAAGTCTGTGCTGGGAGTCTGTCTGTTGTTTGGAAAAAACAGCCTGAGAGCTGAGAGCCTCATTCATTGCAAACCTCCTCCCTCTCATTAGCCAGGGTTCACCTCTGACTCTGTTTCCACTTCAAAAAGAAGCAGCTCTAATTTTCCCCAAATAAAGTCTAAAGCACACAAGGCAGCTGCTTTTTCTTGCGCTGCTCTTCCTCACAGTGGCGGGAGCAAGAAGCTGGGTTGGGTTCTCAGTTAGGGCTGCCAGAACCCAGCAAGGAAGAGGTCAAGTCAGAGACCCCTACTAGTTAAAAAAAAATTCACCTTACGCCAAAAAAAAAAAAAAGATGTTTACACAGCATATGAATAGTGGGGGACCAGTCTAACCACATCGAATTCAGAAAATGTCTGTTGTCAGAGTCCCAAGACTACAGAAGGGCAAGCAACGCATGGTCCCCAGGCTCAGGCTGCCCACAGGCAGTGTGGGAGAGGAACATTCACATCTGCCAGCTAAAGAAGCAAACATTAAGTAGAGGGGCAAGTGACATGCCATCAGGTGCACAAGGCTAAAGTGAAACAGAGACTGGCTCAAGGATTTCTGATAAATTATCAAGTCCATCATAGAGAAGGTGATTTTTGAACTGGGCCTTGAAGATAAAGCAGTGATTTTGATACATGAGCTCAGGAGAAAGGGCAGAACCCAGAGAACAGCTTGGTCAAAGACACAGGGTTACAGTAGAACACAGAGTGTTTTAAAAGCCTTCTGGGGTTTGGCCGGGCGCGGTGGCTCATGCCTGTAATCGCAGCACTTTGGGAGACCGAGGTGAGTGCATCATGAGTTCAGGAGTTCAAGACCAGCATGGCCAAGATGTTGAAACCCCGTCTCTACTAAAAATACAAAAATTAGCCAGACACAGTGGCAGCCACCTATAATCCCAGCTACACAGGAGGCCGAGGCAGGAGAATCGCTTGAACCCCTGGGACAGAGGTTGCAGTAAGCTGAGATCCTGCCACTGCACTCCAGCCTGGGTGACAGAGTGAGACTCTGTCTCAAAAAAAAAAAAAAGAAAGCCTTAGTAATTCCTCATTTACCCGAATTCTGCCACAGACATAATACGTGGCATTTTAAATTACTTGTAGAATGAAACGTTTATATCCCCATAAAATTGTCAACTACTATGATTTTTCATGTGTGTGGTAAAATCAAAGGGGTATTGAAACAGACACGTGAAATCAACATTTCTGTTGTATTTAAATATCCAGCTACTGTGTCACTATGACTATTTCAGTGGGAAGGCAGCAGAACACTGGAGTGAGAGCACTGGTGATGAGGATTTGAGTTTGGTCTCAGCATTTTATTTGTTTGTTTATTCACTCATTCATCTACTCCTGCATTCCACAAACATGATCTTCATGACTGGCCCAAGAGGAGGGTTGATTATAGAGAGACGGAAAAGAAAACCATGGTCTCTATAACTTCCAGGAACCCACAATACATGGAAGAGATCACAGAAGAAGGTAGTAAATGGCATCATAAAAGCAGGGACAAGGGGCTGTGGGAGAACATATTATGTGCTCAATAACTAGTTGTGGCTATAATGAATAAACAGCATGATAAGTAGTAGCAGATACCACCAAGAAAACAAATCAAAAGACTGAAAACAAATTCCTTGGATTTGGCCAGTGGGTCTCAAAAATGTTTATAAATGTTTATAAATATCATAAAACCCATTGAAACCATGGAGCTCTTTGGAGAATACCATGAATTTTTCATATATTAAAATAACTGAAAATATAATTTTGAGCTAAATCAGAGATCTCAGTGCATTAAATCAGAGAGCACAGGTGACAAGTGTTCAGAAAAGTATGAGACAAAAGCTTTACATTGAGAATATTCTATCAGCTCATTAGTTGTCTATGAGTTGGAGAATGACTACCAAGATTCTATTTTAATGCAGGAAACCCTCTGTCCAGCCGGTAGAGCACCAGGGCTCCACAGAAGCACAGTTTTGGCAGTCGGAAGGTTGTTGATGACTTAGCGACGACATTATCAGCGAGTAGTAAGGCCAGAAGCTAGAGAGGGCTGGGGCTGGAAAGTGAGCATGGCATTAAGATGCCAGCAAGTATTTACTGAATGTCACTGGACAGACGGTGTTGCAGGCAGGGGAATAGGAGACAGTCAAAATCCCCAGCCTCATGAAGCTTGAAGTCATTCAGGGAAACAAATTTGTCACAAAACAAATGTAAAGTGACACTGTGATGAAGGCTATGAAGGCTATG